CTAATGATGGTTCAGGGATAGGCAACTGGGTGTCTTCCAGTTAGGATGAATTTCAGTAACCAACAGCCTTGCCCAGCATTGCAAATTGCAGCAGATTTCATACTAGATATTATTGTTTGTTTCTGCAAGATGATAATTAAGCTGGAAATTCTTCCTTTGATTCTGAATGCATTTGAAAACCAACTTTGTTTAGCTAGCTTTTAGATTCCCCTCCCCTTGGCGTCATCATTTATCTGTTTACAGGTAGTCCTCGCTAAATGTTTAAAGATTGTTCAGAATTATGATGGCATCGATCAGGTGTTTAATTATGGCCGTCCTTGATGTTATAGCCATTGCAGCACCCTTATGGTCACATGATCAAGAGTTGGATCCTGAACAACCTGCCCACATTTATGACCAGATTCATTTAACCCCCCCCCCCTTTCCAAATCTCCTCTCCATCTCTGTCTTTTAGTCTGTCTTGTACTCTGTTGCCCTGGAAAACTTTTGTACAACCAACAGCTACCTCATGAAGGGCCAAGTTGGGCATGTCTCATCAGCAGAGGGAGGAAGAAGATGATGCAATATGCTTTCTGCAGATTTCATTATATTTTACAACAATAGAGACCTTTTTCATTTGAAATTTTCATATTTTGTTAATACATGTAGTCCCTGACTTACAACCACAATTGAGCCCAAAATTTCTGTTGCTAAGCAAGATAGTGGTTAAGTGAATTTTGCCCCATTTTACAACCTTTCTTATTACAGTTGTGAAATGAATCACTGCAGTTGTTAAGTTAGTAACACGGTTTTTAATTGAATCTGCCTTCCCCATTGATTTTGCTTGTCAGAAGGTCACAAAGAGTGATCTCATGACCCCGGAACACTGCAAAGGTCATAAATATGAGTTAGTTGACAAGTACCCTAATTTAGTTCACATGACCACGGGGATGTTGCAACGGCCGTAAGTGTGAAAAATGGTCATAAGTCATTTTTTCAGTGCCATTGTAATTTCAAATGGTCACTAAATGAACTGTAAGTCAAAGACTACCTGTACTTGATGGATAGGTTATATGCCCAGATTACTCATTTTTCCTTCTTTTTGGTTTGCTTGTTACTGTTTATTTTTGATGTTCTTCCATTGCTTATTTTTGTTGTTTTTGTATTTTTTGGAGTATTTAAAAATGTGTATTTTTTTTAAAAAAAGCTTGCAATAAAATAAAATTTAAAAATGCAAGAAACTGTGCTGGTTATCCTGGTAAGCTTAGAGGTGTGTGTGTGTGCATTCTGTTGCTTAATTTTGTGTGCTGTTGATGCCATCCTTAGTATATCTTGGTGCAATGACATCTTTGAAATTGCTGCTTTGTCATGTTTGCTGCAGTATTTCTGTGACTTTACATTTTAAAAAAAAGTTGTGGTGCTGAGGAAGAGTTTATGGACAATATGATTACTTTTTTCTTCTGAGTATTGATGACGTAAATAAAATTTATATTTAAGATGTAAAATGGGAGCCTGGCGGAGAATTGGGAATTGCAGAATGGAGCTTCTGCTCTTGCCTTCCCCTCCTGCTCTTTCTCCCTTCCTCATTGTGCCAGGGAAGCTATAATTATTTTTTATTTTTGGCAGTCAGTCAGGAAAAAGGTAAATTTGCAAGTGAACCTTTACGTACTGGGATGGAGAGAAATTCACCATTTCCTGACTCCCTGTAAGGTTCAGTGTACTATATAGACAATATAGAAGAGGTTTATTTTAAAACTGGATTAAAATTAATCTGCTAGCATGTCATCCTGCTCTGGATGAAGGAAATTGATTTAAAGATTTGTGTTCTGTGTCAGAGTTCAATAACACAGAGCCAGTTTATGTCTTCTCACATTCCTCTCCATGAGAATTATACTTCCAGGACAAATTGTTCTTCCAATTTTGGGGAAGGCCAGGACTAAGGCTGCCAGATTTCAGCTGCAAAAATCGGGATGACCACAGGTATCAAAAAACAAGGGTTTTCTGTTTTTATTATGTTTTTGCTGCTGTCAGAAGGGCCAGATTTTTGAAGGCCAGGGGGCTTGTTCTGAATTCAACCATTTCCCATGTCCAAAAGAGACCTCCAAATTATATTTGGCACCAAAGGCTAACAATTCAGTGTCTCATTTTGTGCACACCTCTTATGCTACTACACACCCTTCCAAACTAAAAAGCCAAAATAGAAGAATGTGGGATATTCCTGTTACAACAACAACAACAACAACAACAACAACAATAATAATAGAGTTGGAGGGGACCTTGGAGGTCTTCTAGTCCAACCTCCTACTCAGGTAGGAGACCCTATACCATTTCAGACAAATAGTTGTCCAATATCTTCTTTAAAACTTCCAGTGTTGGAGCATTCACCACTTCTGGAGGCAAGTTGTTCACTTCTGAGGCAGGTTATTCTGCCTCCAGAAATAAACAACCTGTTCACTTCTGTTTGTAGCCACTTTGTGTTATTCTTTTTCCTAGGATATGCAGCATATTTTTGATTATTACTTTATATTTGCCATATACTGTACTGTATATTCCCCTTACAAAATAAAAATGTCATCTAAAGTTTGATTGAAACTCCCATCCCATTGAGTTAACATGTGGAAGAGGACCAGGGCAATATCTCTTGGCTGCAAAATCATTTGATCCTCTGATGGTCATGTGTTGTCCACAACTATTGTGGAATTAGGAACTCTTGTTACATAGAACATATATGAGAAACTGTTCATGTATAGGTTTCACCTGGCAGACTATTCATATTTGCTGAAGGGGTGGTATCACATGTGATTTTTCAAAATAAAGTCTGGAGAAACGCTTTTTGTCAGATTCTTATTCTTGTGAAAGTGCATGGAGGAATATAAGGTATGGGCTATAATTTGAAATAAGTGCCCAGTAAGTGCAGACGACACCAAGCTGGCAGGAATAGCCAACACTCCAGAAGACAGGCTTAAGATACAGAAGGATCTGGACAGACTTGAACACTGGGCACTATCAAACAAAATGAAATTAAATGGTGAAAAAAGCAAGGTTCTACATTTAGGCAAGAAAAACCAAATGCATAAGTACAGCATAGGTGGCACCTTGCTCAATAGTAGTAACTGTGAGAGGGACCTCGGAGTCCTAGTGGACAATTACCTAAATATGAGCCAGCAGTGTGCTGCAGCTGCCAAAAAGGCCAACACAGTGCTAGGCTGCATTAACAGAGGGATAGAATCAAGATCACGTGAAGTGTTAATACCACTTTACAATGCCTTGGTAAGGCCACACTCAGAATACTGTATCCAGTTTTGGTCACTGCGATGTAAAAAAGATGTTGAGACTTTAGAAAGAGTACAGAGAAGAGCAACAAAGATGATTAGGGGACTGGAGGCTAAAGCATACAAGGAACGGCTGCTGGAATTGGGTATGTCTAGTTTAATGAAGAGAAGGACAAGGGGGGACATGATAGCAGTCTTCCAATATCTCAGGGGTTGCCATAAAGAAGAGGGAGTCAAGCTATTTTCCAAAGCGCCTGGAGGCAGGACGAGAAGCAACGGGTGGAAACTAATCAAGGAGAGAAGCAATCTAGAACTAAGGAGAAACTTCCTGATAGTGAGAACAATTAACCAGTGGAACAACCTGCCTCCAGAAGCGGTGAATGCTCCAACACTGGAAGTTTTTAAGAAGAGACTGGACAGCCATTTGTCCGAAATGGTATAGGGTTTCCTGCCTGAGCAGGGGGTTGGACTAGATGACCTTCAAGGTCCCTTCCAACTTTACTANTTTTTACAGCACCATTTGTGTTTGGGCTCTTTTATATAGAAAACATTCTAAACACAGTGAGATGCTAGTCCCCAGCTCAGCTTTTCAGAGGCATTCCATCCTTCGTAAGGCCAGAAAACCAGTTGTAAATATGTGAATTTACATATTTTCACAACAGATTGTGAATTGTTTGTGGCTGGTTTCAACCTGGTTTTGGAACAAAATTAAGAACTTGTGCTGATGAAGCAACTGCAGCATTTCCCTACCCATGTTTTTAGGAAACATTGAACTTGAGGATATGTAATTCTTTTAGACTATACTGGACCCTGTAACCCATTAGGTTATCCTTTGAGAGAAAGGTAGTATAGTCTGAGTGAACAGAATTTAATTTTAGACTAATCATAGTTTTTTTTACAACTGTTGGATCTGTGATCATCTAAGAAGAATATATATGTAATAATACGTAATTTTATATACATGAATAATATGTATAATATGCAATTTTAATGCAAATAAACAATAATAAATTAATATTTATTCACCTAAATAGCTAAACAGATGACCATGGGCTGGAAAAAAAAATGAGAGTGGGAGTGATTTCTGACTTCCTGCTAGCTTCCTCATTGACTTTGTTGTAATCTGTCAGGGAGCGTTGGAAATCACGATCATGTGACCATGGGCATGCTGCACAGAGACAATTTTGTGAATAAAACTGGTCTAATTGTATTATAAATAAAATTTTGAAAAAAAAAACCTGGTCTGATTATCATGTAATTTCAGCTCTACAGGAGTATTGGGTCCCAGATTTTTTTATGCATTCCGTAAATTGGCAGATTGTAGATATCTAGATTCAAAAATTGATGTGGTATGATGCACCATTTGGACTAACTTGAAGTACAAATAGAAAGATAAACACAATGAAAGTTTTAGTAGTATATAGATTTATAGTGGAATACATTATATTGGGATTTTCTTATTCTATTATTGCTGTAGTGTTCTTGTATTTGCTTGCTTTGTGCTTTATTTTATTATGATTGAATAAATGTACAAATATAAATATTTAAATACTAGCTATTTTTGCAATTAAATATATATTAAATGTGAGAAATAAAGGGACAGGGGATTGTTCCTATAAATGTATATGCAAATTATTCATTTGCAATAGTTCCAAATAAATGATACCATTGGTTAATATTAAGGAAAAAAATGTATCGTGATAGTCCTGTTTAATCCTACACATTATTTTTTTTGTGTATGTGTTTCAGGTAGCATAGTATACCTGGGGATGATGGTAGGAGCGTTCTTCTGGGGAGGCTTGGCAGACAAAGTGGGAAGGAGGCAATCTCTTCTGATATGTATGTCTGTCAATGGATTCTTTGCTTTCCTTTCATCATTTGTCCAGGGCTATGGCTTCTTTCTCTTCTGTCGACTACTCTCTGGATTTGGGTAAGCTCTTCGGCTTTCTTCTATTTTTTTAAATGATGTTTGTATGCTGATCTGTTTTAAGGTGAAGTGATACCCATTCCCGGGTCCCCTTCAAAAGATCAAATTTGAAAGTAGGGTGCTTCAGATATTTTTACATTCTCTTAGTCTGCACTATTGGCTATGGTCAGCCCTATTATTCAGGTACGGCAATGTTACTCAGCTAAGGAAGAATAAAGGAGATAACTCCAACAGTGATGGCTGAAAATCCTGAGATAGATTAACCAGTTTTGTTTGGCTGAAAGGTTGCTATTTATTCCTGGAGAACCTGGGGCAAGGCTCTCAGAAGTGGTCATCAATGAGGGCCTGGAAAGAAAATGAAGGGGGAAGAGGAGCACCATGGGACAAAAATCTACCCAAAGCAGATGGCTTTGGAAAGCTGAAGAAGAGTATGAGAAATCAACTGCCAGTCATTAGCAGTCTGAGCAAGAGTGTCAGTCAGTGTAATTACTGTTGACATATCTCTAAATAGGAAGTAGGAATTAAGCTTAGACACAAATGTAAGTACTGTACCCATGTAATTCATTGATATGTTATACTATACACAAAACAAGGTACGGTAGTTTTTTTTTTACCAGTAGCAGGAAACGTTACTTTTTACCAGTACCAAGGTAACAACTTATTACATCAAACTTTTATGATATCAAAGGATTGTGTCAAAAAATTATCAATTTAGATGTATTTAATTCATTCCTATCAATTGACTTAAATGATAATGCTCAGTTGCTAATATTCATGTAAGACCATATCCCCCACTTCTTCAAACAGCATTGCCCTGTTAAATATTCTAAAAATTTTATAACTTCACAATATAGGACCCTGGGTTATCCTCCCAGAGATATGCAAGGCTTCCATTTTTGTTGGTTTCAGAAGTCTTTGTAAGCTGCAATTTTTCTTGATACCTGTTCATACATCCACACCATTCGAAAGGTATTCATCCCAAAATGTATAGCTAAATGTCTATGGAGATTCTCAGTAATCTAGGTCTTGCTTGTCCCAAAGATGCTTTTTCAAGAGGCAACTGGACTTCCTTGTTTTTCTTTGAAAACGTTTTGCTTCTTATCCAAGAAGTTTCCATGACCTGGATAACTGAGAATTTCCATAGACATTTAGCTATGCACTTTGGGATGAACACCCTTCAAATAATGTGGGAGTATGAAAGGATTTCCAGAAAAATTGCAGACTACAGGAACCATTTGTGGTTCAGTTTGAGATGCAGACAATATAGACTCATCCCCAACAGCCTGTGGCTGTGTTCAACAGTGAAGGGACACAGGGCAGAAAACATTATGCAGAAAGCACAGCTCCACAACACAGTCCTTTCAGCAGTTCCAAGAAGGCTCCACACCCATTTGCATTACTCAGGTGACCCTAAGGACACAGACAACCTCCAAGTGGCCTCAACAACTCTCTAAAAGAATGCAAATGACCAGCTATCCGCAAGGAATATAAATCTTTCCATTCCCCACCATCCAGTCATAGCTGAAGAAGCTTCTTGGATGAGAAGTGAAATGTCTTCAAAGAAAAACAAGAAAGACCAGTTGCCTTTGAAAAAGCACCTTTGGGACCACCATGACCTGGATGATTGAGAACCTACATAGACAACCATCTTTGTGCCATCTTTGGATTGTGCAAGTGTAAAGTCTGATCCAGAGAGACTGAGCCCTAAAAAAGTCCCAATTCTTTATGTGATATAGTAGAGTATTATGTCAAAGATTTATCCATTTGAATATATATATTTAATTTATTCCAACTAGTTGACCTTAATGATAATGCTGATTTACTAGGATTTTAAGTTACATTCTAAAAAAAAAAGTTACAGAATTCTATAGGTTCACTTCTAAGGAAATGTTCTATGAAATAAATCTTGAAATTTGGGAGTTTATAAAGAGATCATGTTTTTTATCACATGTAATGGGAATGCTTACATATTTTCTGTTTTACTGTATTCCTTTGAATGACTTCAAGGTATGCAAAACATTATGAATTTGAAACAATCTGACCAATCTTTGAATTGCTGTTTCAAACCTGGGCAAGGGATGTTTTTAAGATGGCCTAATCTAAAACAATTTGTTTTGATTTTGGATCAATCCTGATATATTCTTTTAGGTTAGAACATTTTATACCCCAATAATTTTCACTGTTATGCATGTTTGCTATACTTCAGTCCTTCAAGATATTATAGCTATACCTTGGTACATACCATTAAATGCTTATGTCAAGTCTGTGCTTTATTGTCTATTGTCCATGTGTTTGATTGCTTGAGGTGGGCGACCTGAATCATTGCCAGCTCTCAATAATAATTGTTCATTTAGTTATAATTTAATTTTAAATGGTTGATTTTTTGTTATGTTACTGTATTTTTTGTTATAAATTGATTTGGAATTTTAAATGAATTGAAAAGTAGCATAAAATTAATAAATAATAAAATATAAATATTTTTAGTATATTTTGTAATTGACACAATAAATTCATTTGTGTATTTGTTAAATTTTAAACTCTTTCAGGAGCACAATGTAATATGCATAGCATTCTTTCCTTCAATTATTTCTCCATGGTATCTCAGTAGCATTGCAGGAGATCTCTTTTCCAGCCGCAGTGGGACCTAATATTAGTTTAAGCTGAAGAGTGCCAAATTTGCAGTTATGAAATGTCCTCCGTAAGGAGACCTCAGAGACAAAAATTGTGCCATTAAATATTTGTCTCTTTGTCCTCCTTTCCTTTGCACCATTTCCTAGATGGATATTGCCTTTCTGAATTAAATAGTTGCCTTTGAATCTCCAGTTTGTTGCAAATAGGAAATGATGGGAGAAGATTTCAGCAAAAAAGACACTGGAAAATCCCATTTCCAAAGCACGATGCTGCTTACATTTCTCTGAATCTGAACAGTGACTCATGTGTGATAATCTTCTATGTGAAAATTGTTAAAGTTTCTAAATATTAAATAGCAAGACTTTTCAGTATTTAACAGTTACATAAAGTATTTCAGTATGTGGTGATGTTGCCTCAGATGTCTCCTTAAGCACCAACATCAGCATTAAGAGCTTATGATAATCAAAGCTAAATTTCAAACATATTGAACAGCTTATGTAGAATGGGAGCTTATCATTGTTTAAGGTTGGTAATGATATTTGAAATACCATATGTACCACATAACAATTCCCAAATATCCACTATCTAACCAGTGTTTCTCAACCTTGACAATTTTAAGGCATGTGGACTTCAACTCCCAGAATTCCACAGCCAGCAATGCTGGCTATGGAATTCTGGGAGTTGAAGTCCACATGCCTTAAAATTGTCAGGGTTGAGAAACACTGATTCTAAGCCATCAAAAATATCATTAAAATGTGCATTGCTCATAGAAATGAATATTTGTAGCTCATGGTTGAACTGTGGGCTCCTCTCTGAGCTTCATTGTTTTCTTGAACTACCAAGAACAACCAAGCTGAGAGAACACTGAGGACCCCCATATGCATGGCTCGCTTTGATTATTCAATACAGTTGATTTAAAAAAATCTTTACTACTGCATTATTTATTTCACTCTATATTTAAAGTCTGTTTACAAAGACTGAAATAGCAGTCATTAGCTAATATATTGTTTGAAATACAAAAGACTGTACCTCATATACCACCAATAAAAGACATTTTAAGAGAATTTTAAACCAATTTTGGGTGACCTTTTCACATTCCTCCATTGCATCATTAGTATCCCTGATCAACATGGACATGTTTCTTCCACATCCTCAGTTCTGTCCCACATGCATTTACTGTATATACTTTCTTCTTCCTGTTACTTCAGCGAAATCAATGAATGTTTCTATCTCTCCCTTTGATATCTGACCCTTTGGCTCTGTGTCAAGTGTTAGAAGCATCCATCCAGGGATGTCTGCAGGATTTCAAAATAGTCAAGATAATAGCCCAAAAGGCCCAGTTGAAGCATTGTCTGCTTTTTATGTGCAATACTTTTTTGATCACACCCTGCTGATACCTCTGCATCATTCCATGTCAGTGGTGCCTGGAAAACATGCAGTCCCATCACCCTTTAAAATAATAATAATAATAATAATAATAATAATAATAATAATAATAATAATAATAATAATAATAATAATAATAATAATAATAATAATAATAATAATAAAAAAAAAGTTGAAAGGGACCTTGGAGGTCATCAAGTCCAACCTCCTGCTCAGCCAGGTAACCCTATACCATTTTGGACAAATGGCTGTCCAGTTTCTTCTTAAAAACTTCCAGTGTTGGAGCATTCACTGCTTCTGGAGGCAGGTTGTTCCACTGGTTAATTGTTCTAACTGTCAGGAAGTTTCTCCTTAGTTCTAGGTTGCTTCTCTCTTTGGTTAGTTTCCATCCATTGCTTCTTGTCCTGCCTTCAGGCGCTTTGGAAAATAGCTTGACTCCCTCTTCTTTGTGGCGGCCCCTGAGATATTGGAACACTGCTATCATGTTCCCCCTTGTCCTTCCCTTCATTAAACTAGACATAACCACTTCCAGCAACTGTTCCTTATATGTTTTAGCCTCCAGTCCCCTAATCATCTTTGTTGCTCTTCTCTGTACTCTTTCTAGAGTCTCAACATCTTTTTTACATTGCGGTGACCAAAACTGGATGCAGTATTCCAAGTGTGGCCTCACCAAGGCATTGTAAAGTGGTATTAATACTTCACATGATCTTGATTCTATCCCTCTGTTAATGCAGCCTAGCACTGTGTTGGCTTTTTTGGCAGCTGCAGTACACTGCTGGCTCATATTTAAATGATTGTCCACTAGGACTCCGAGATCCCTCTCACAGTTACTACTATTGAGCAAAGTACCCCCTATACTATACCTGTACATTTGGGTTTTCTTGCCTAAATGTAGAACCTTACTTTTTTCACCATTGAATTTCATTTTGTTAGATTAATAATAATAATAATAATAATAGTAAAGTTGGAAGGGACCTTGGAGGTCATCTAGTCCAACCCCCTGCTCAGGCAGGAAACCCTATACCATTTTGGACAAATGGCTGTCCAGTCTCTTCTTAAAAACCTCCAGTGTTGGAGCATTCACCACTTCTGGAGGCAGGTTGTTCCACTGGTTAATTGTTCTGTCAGGAAGTTTCTCCTTAGTTCTCTCCTTGCTAAGTTTGAATCTCATTTTGTTAGATCGCGCCTGTGCTTCCATAATGTTGAATTCCAATATTGCATGATCACTTCCTCCCAGGGTTCCTATGGCTTCAACACCTTCTATCATTTCATCTCTGTTAGTGAGAATTAGATCCAAAATGGCTAATCCCCTAGTTCCCTTCTCTACTTTTTAGGAGACAAAGTTGTCTGCTAGGTTTGCCAGGAACCTGTTTGATCTTCCGCTTGGTGCAGAGTTTGTCTCCCAGTTGATGTCAGGGTAGTTAAAGTCCCCCATTACTATTGTGATGTGCTTCCTACATACCTTAGTTAACTGACTAGCAAAAAGTTCATCTATTTCCTGTGTTTGGTTGGGTGGCCTATAGTATACACCTATGGCAATGTCGTTTCCCCCCCCCTTTTATATTGACCCAAATGCATTCAAAACAGTTTTCATCATTGTTGTGCTCTATTTCTGTAGAGATGTAGTTATTTCTTATATAGAGAGCAACTCCACCTCCTCTTTTATTTGGTCTGTTTCTTTTAAATAATTTAAATCCCTCTAGCTGTGTGTTCCATTTGTGGGTTTCATCCCACCATGTTTCCGTAATGGCAACAATATCATATCTGCCCACATTAACCTGAATTTCTAGTTCACCCTGTTTGCTGTTCATACTCTGTGCATTGGTGTATAGACATTTGAGTCCTTTATGACCAACCCTGTGCTTACATTCTACATAACCTGTGTGGTGCCTGAGTTCCCCTATTGTCTTACCACCTATTTGGTTAGTGCACTTTGTGTGGCACTCGCTATTAAGAGCTTGATTTTCCTTGACAGCAAGGTTGATGTTCTTGTCCACACACACATCTATGTTACATGCACTGATAGCCCTATAATTTTTAGATTGGCCCATAGCAGTTTGTTATGCCTTTTGGGGATGAGCAAATCCATCAGAGTCTTTGCTTTGCTGGAGCAAAACAAAAACACTAAATAAAAGCAATTCAGAGAGGCTGGGAGAATTTACATTCTTTTCCATCTCAGATTACAATAAAGCCAAAGAAAAGCTTGGGGATTCAGCATGCTTGTATTCCTTCAAAGCTGTGCCCGGATAATGTTCAGCAATACAGTGATTTACAGCATATAAGCTTTCCTTAATCAACATTTCTTTGATGTAAATAAGTAATTGATTTATTTGTCAAGATTCCCAGAACTCTATTGCTTTCAGCATGCTTTTCCTCAAAATAATCCAGAGCTTCTACAGACTTTTTGTTCCTGTTATTCCTCTTTTTTTTTTAGGATTGGAGGAGCTGTTCCAGTTGTATTTTCATATTTTGCTGAAGTACTTGCTCGAGAGAAACGTGGTGAACATTTAAGTTGGCTTTGCATGTTTTGGATGATTGGAGGTATCTATGCATCTGCCATGGCCTGGGCAATCATTCCTCATTATGGTGAGAAGTGCAGTATTATTTTCTATAACTTCTATTGCCATTGTACATAAGCACTAAATGAGTTTAAACTGCAATTGTTCTTCCATTGACATTTTCATGATTTTCATGATGGAATTACTTATTTAATCAGTAAATATATGTACATAGAGTTCTTGACAATATGCATGTGTATATTTTTAATTTCAGTTTGATATAATTCTGTTAACAGAAGCCATTGTCTGCAGTTACAGATCTATGTGAAGTAAATACACAAGCATGGGACTTTATTTGGCCCTTACCCCAAGATGTCCAAACAAAGACATTGTTCTTTGGGTGTCAATTTCATGTGGGAAAACCTGCATGATCTAAAATCCCAGTAGTATATGCAGGAATGCACAACCCTAGAATAATGAAGGGAGAAATGTTTTGTTTTATAATTATAGTAGCTCTTTTTAAAATTCAATATACAAGCTTTACCATTATGTTTTGGGAGCTGACAGACCTGTTCTCCCTTGTGCTGCAGAAAACTACTGAAATTTATGACTAGAATGATACACAATGGAGGCAAAATCATGAGGACATGGCTAGAGCAGAGGTTATTGGGGCATGCTTGTGTCACAGTTAGACCCAAATATGAAAGGGCTCTTAAGCCAGCTGGGTGCCTTAGGCCACTTACTCTCATTCAGTCAACTCACCTCACAGGGTTGTTGTTGATGTGGGGGAAAAAATAAGAGCAGGAGGGATATGTCTGCTGTCTTGAGTTGTGTATAAAATAATAAAGGCATGATATAAATTAAATAAATAAACCTTTATTAAAATTTGGGCAAACAGGAAACTAAGCTTATTCAGCTCAGAATTCGTCATTTCTTTTTCTTTTGCTGGGAACAACTGCAAGCTTGACAGATTCCCCAAATTGATTGACATAAACACAAATGTTGACTTGGCACGTTGCTATTCAAATTTTATTTTATGTCACTTCAACAGCTTATTCACGAACATGCCCAATATTGTTCACACGTGTTAAAAATAAGCCAATGCACAAAACAGTTGCCCCTAATTATTTCATTATTAAACAGCATTTCCTCTTCTCTTTGTCTTTCCAACTCTGCCTACCAAAGAATTGTTTTGTCAACAACTTGTCGTTGAGATGAAAAACAAGTGCAGTCTTGGAGTTGTGAGGCTTTTTTCCCAAGGAAAGCAAAATCTGATGTTGGTTAGTCATCAATAGTACTAAGACTATCTAACCATTGCCACCTTTTGTATCTGGACAGATACTTATCTGGACAGATACTTATTTTTTTCTCCAGAGGATTTTAGGGGATATGCTTACAATTCTCCCATAACATATATGTTCCTAACTGAAAATATACATGATTGCATCAAATTCAAATCTAGTTTTTAAAAAGGAATATTACAGTATTTTTTTTAAATAAATTTGTTTTGCTAATAATCTATAGATAGTCCTAGACTTACATCAACAATTAGGACTGGAACTTCCATAGGTAAGCAGTGTGGTCATTAAATGAATCATCATGTGCTCACACCCAATTTTACAATTTTTTTTTGCAGAAATTATTATGGATTAAGTAATAATCATGTAATTGTTTAGTGAATCAGGCTTCTCCTACCATGCTTCTCTAAAAACAACACCGGGTCTTACATTATTTTTTGCTCCAAAAGACACATTAGGGCTTATTGGTACAATAGACATGTCAAGCATAAGACCTGCACCTGGGGCAGTCCAAGCGCTGATGGGTCAGCCCTCCAAGCAGCAGACATAGGTAGAGGCGTGGGGGGGGGAGGAACGTGATCTGGCCCTCTGGATGCATTGGGCAGCCGCTTGCCCACTCCGTCCCCTCATCTGTCTTTGCTTGCCCAGGGCTATGATGGGGTGATGCGGCCACCGCGAGGTAAGGCAAGTGGCGGGGTGGAGGTGGCCTGGCTGCAGGGCTCCGAGATACGTGAGTGCGGGTGCATAGGGCAGCTCTGGGGCTGGGCTAGGGCAGGAATGGGGAGGGGAGTCCCAGCTGCCTCTTGGGGATGGGGGCTCCCCGCCTTTCCTGTATGCCAGGGCTGTTGGGTGGGGCAGTGGGCAGGTGGCTCATCTCATGTGTGTGGTGGAGCTGGAGGACAAGGTTAGACAGCGGGGGCCGAGCGCTCAGGGACCGTGGCATGGTGCCACCCCGCCTCACCACCTGCCTCACCTTGTAGTGGCGGCAGCAGATCTGCCGGACATGCTGTGCAGCCACCTGCCTCATCGCGACAACGGGCAAGCAAAGACAGTGTCATATGTCTGATTAATGAAACACTAAAAAGGACTTTCAGGCATATTTTCCCCTAAAAATATGCCTGACAGACAGACTGTAGGATGGAGTGGATGGGCGGCCACCCAGCGCATCCGGTAGGTCGGATCATGTGCCCCCCCCACACTTCTGCCTCTGCCTGCTGCTTGGAGGGCCTGCCGGGCAGTCGCAGTGCTCGGACTCCCCTGCGCTGCATGGGCTTTGCAGCCCCAGAGCGCGCCAATAATATTATATATAGTTATTTTATAATTCAATATGTCCATCATGTGTTGCGATGGATGTCTGGCTGACAATCTTAACTGGGGTTATTTTGGGGATAGGGCTTATATTACGAGCATCTTGAAAAATCATGCTAGGGCTTATTTTCTGGTTGGGTCTTTCCTTTTCAGGGAAACACGGTATTGTATTGAGATTGTTGGAAGCTGGCTGGGAAAGTTGCAAATGGTGATCATGTGACCATGTGGATGCTGCAAGGTTGTAAATGTGAGGACCAGTTATAAGTCACTTTTTTCAGCATTGTTATAATTTAAATGGTTGCTAAATAAATGGTCATAAATTGAGAATTACCCGTAACTATTTAAATATGATTTATAGTGCTGGATACCAAGCTATTTCAGAATACTTCTGTTGGCCAGTATTGTAAGATAAATATATCAAAACGGAGAGAGAAACAAAGAATCTATAAACAAGATTATATTCAGCATAAGAATAATTTTAATTCTGGCCGAGATAGATGATACATTTACATCACAACCTAGGTTCCTAATGTATTGTTTTCCTGTACTTTTCCTGTACTTTTATGTTTTTATTATTCAGAATTACTTGTTTATGGTTTTAGACATTTTAACTTTTACATTATCAAATATCTGAGTTCAAAAGTTTCTTTTATTTGACAAGCCAGTTCTAATGGTCTGTGCATCTAAGCCTACTATATTTTTGGAAGATACATTATTGGTAGCAGAAAGCCGATTGCAATGGTCATGGCTGACTTCATTATAGAAGACAGCGAATTGTTTTAGGCAGAATACATCTCTTTGCAGGCAGTATAATAAACGGTTTACTAAGCCAAGTACATTTTCCTTTTGAATCTTTTTAACTCTCTTTTGAATTTTATTACTACAATGTGGTAGAAGATGCAGCTTCATTTAAATGAATAGGGGCTGTTTTCAACTTGAAAGCATGCAAAATATATTTTAAAAGTGGATGATAATGATGGGAAACAGGATTATTGTAAAGATATTTGCATGTTAAAAATTGCTAAAAAATGTTGAAATCCAGTCATTTCCATCTACCAAAGAAGGAACATTGCTGGTGGACCATATTTCCCCTTCTTTTTACATCCTCCTGATGCCCATTAGATTTGCTTTAGGGGTCGATGAAAGCTTCACTCTTCCCCTAAATATTCTATCCTGAATACAATGAAGCTATTTAGAATAGCAGGTTGTGAAGAGTTTATATGAATCTTAAATTGAGACAAGATTGGTACTAATAGTTTTGCATCTAAATGTTATAAGAGTGCCATCCAGTGGCTAGTTCAGCTAACCTTTATATCTAATTGAAACCAGTATCCCTTTTCCTAGTGTATATCCCCATAGCCATAGTAAGAATTTATTTTTGATTTAATTTGATTTGATTTCTATAGCTGCCCATCTCAACGAGTGACTGTAGGCAGTGTACATCATAAATACAATGATATCACTAACACTACATACCTTGACTTTTCTCTGGAGTTCAAAATGGCTTATATGATGGTTTTTAATGTTACTTCTACAATGACAATCCTGTGCAGATTGAGACAGTGTAATCTATTGAACTCCATGGTTGAATGGGAGTTTGAGCCAGAAACCTCTCAGTCCAACCAGGTATCATTATATCTATAAAAAAAAAGTCTGGTTTAAAAAACAACAACAAAGAATTCAAAAACAGTAGCCTTAAATGAAATCTGGGGGATAAATAATTGTGTTCTTTGATAGGTCATTCTGATGGCTGACCTATTGTAAGCGCCTTTAATTATTTGTGGACGTGGAAGAGGTTTGAAAGCTAATGATGCTTTGGACTTGGAGCTTTTCATACATTTGGAATTCCTCACCTGAGAACCAGCTGTGGAGATTTGCAGAATGGAAAACCAACACTGGCGTGGATTCTCAAGTCATGTTCCTCCTTCTGAGATTCAGGGTTCTGAATTTGGAATGAGAAGAGAATCTGAGAAACATTATCTCAGGGACCATAACATTTTTCCCAAGGAGAAAGACAGCTAATAAATTCCTTTAATATCCAATCAATACATCCCTTTGTACTCCCTGACTTTCTGTTATACAGGTAGTCCTTGACTGACAACCATTCATTTAGTGACCATTCAAAATTACAGCAGCACTGAAAAAAGTGACATGAATTTAACAAACGTTGCAGCATTTCCGTATGATCGGAGTTTGGTCATTTGGCAACTGACATGTGTTTATGGCGGTTGCAATGTCTCGGGTCTTAATCCAAACTCAAATGAGTGGCTTTTTTATTGTTTTTTTATGTGGTTGGTGATTTTTCAGGAAAAAATACTTTATTTTATTATGATTGAATAAATGTACAAATATAAATATTTAAATACTAGATATTTTTGCAATTAAATATATATTAAATGTGAGAAATAAAGGGACAGGGGATTGTTCCCATAAATGTATATGCAAATTATTCATTTGCAATAGTTCCAAATAAATGATACCATTGGTTAATATTAAGGAAAGGGGCATAAAAACCCCCATTAAAATGGCAGTTGTGACTGCATGATCAAAGCCTGCCCTCCTTATGTGCATCATGAAATATAAAAAGGGAACATGTGTGGTCGTGCCTTCCATCTTGACGTCTTGTATCCTCTCCCAAAGCCTCTATTTGAGGCTTTCACAAAACCGTCTTTACTCTAAAGGTGTTGGATTCAGCCTTAGTGCAGATATATTCTGATATAGCACTCTGAAATACATACATTTATGGAAAATATTCTAGAAGCTATCTTTTTGCTGCAAAACAGAAAAAAACACTTCCCTTGCCCTCCCAACACACAAAAACTAGTTTAGAGTTGGTTTATTCTGAAAAGAGATTAGAAATTAAAGATGCACGTTTTATTGTTTTTGGTAAAACAAGACAGCCTTTCTTGGCTATAATGGGTTCTGTTTGAATAGGAAGTTTGTGTGTTTTATCATTGATCTCTCTTATGCTAATATCATCCTGTAGTCTGTCATTGGAACTTGAATGATTTATTTGGTCTTTCTTGTAATCAGTAGAGTGAGAAGGTGATATTTAATGTGAAGCTGCTGCAGAGATTGAAAAAAAGCTGAAGGTTTTATTTTATGCAACAGCCCCAGAAAACTGTTCCCAACATGCACTTGGGCCTATTGTTTTAATAACCCGCCTCACCCCTTGGAACTTGCTGCTGCTTTCAAGATTAATGATTTTTGAATGCAGCATTTGCAGAGAGCAAGGGTGAAGTTTAACTTTGCCGAACTGCATTGCTGTCTGAATGAATCAGACAAAGAACACTATATATCTTCCTGTTAGGTTACAAAGAAGGAATGGCAGATGGAAACCAAGACCACACCTCCATTTGACAGCAGTGTTCATCTGCAGAGAAATCTATTCCAAATGCCATTTTAAATTTAGTTCTAGAAAGGAATATCTAGAAATCTCATTCTTCATTTGCAACAAATCTTGGCTTCTTCAAAAAACAAAATGACATATAATAGTATAATCACTTGTATAAAGCTATAGACAATTGTATGGTTTTACCTTAAAATAAATAAAATTATATTTATTTTAAAAATAGATTAGTTTGTTACTCTGTTGAGCTATTAAAAAGTAAAGGATCCAAATTTTCAAGAAGGCAAAATTGTATTCCTTGATGGTTAGTTGGGTTTTGGTAATTATATTTTAGATCTTTTTTGTAGAAAGGTAATAGCATAGGTACAGTATTAATATATATTATAAGAGAAGATGTATTTTTTAATTTTATGTAGTTAAATGTGTTGGATCCTAGATACAGATATGCAAAGTATAAAATAAACCTAATGTATTAGCTGGTTCTGAATCTTATTGAAGATATGTAATACATGTAATGCAAAGGAAAGAGTTATTGCAGATCTGTACAAAATAAATACTTGGTCTATATACAAATAATGAAAAGGCAGTTCCTTTTTACCATGATCTCTTCATAATTAATATGATCATTGAAAATTGAGTGATAATTTTATAGTCTTTTTAGTGCAGACTTAAATTAGAAATTTATAGCTAAATTAGATAACTGCCAGAGATAAAGAAATAACTTTCTTTTCTAAGTAACTAAAGAGCAGGTACACATTAATATATCCTGCCTGGTTTTGATTTTTTTAAAAGAATTATGGGGGAAAGAATAAAATGTTTTTAGTCTCCACAGACAGAAGTAATTAATAGATTTCCCAAAATGTATTGATCACAATAAACTCTGGGTCATATGAATGCTATTGCTTTTACTTAAATGATAATAAATGACTACAAGAAGGAAGGAAGGAAGGAAGGAAGGAAGGAGAGGTAATGCTAAGAAATGATCAGAACAAAATCTTGTTAAAGCAATAGATACTACCTTTGGACATGGTGGCAGTAACGGCCTGTCGTACAGCCACAGAAGTGGAATTTTGTGGTTTTCTTCTTGAAGTACTGGCAAAAAAGATAGCTAATGCCAGAAATAATGGGGGATTACCAAGGAGAAATAGTCATTCCATTGAATTCTCAGCAGCTGTCACCAATTATAGGCAATACACTAAGTTGTATCAATAAGCCTTTTCACACTCACAGCTCTGGATAAAGTAGTGACATTTAATCACAGAATGTGGCATTGGTTTTACTGTGGCATTTGACTTTTGAAAGAAGAAAAAAGAATTTTCGAAGTGCAGATTCTATGGAATAGGCAGAACTTTTGTCCTGCTCTCAGAAATTATCTGGGTTTATAAGCCATGATGCCATTCTTTTAAAATATGTTGCATTTATAATACGTGTCTTTTTCTTCTTTTTCAGGATGGAGTTTCAGCATGGGATCTGCATATCAGTTTCACAGTTGGCGAGTGTTTGTTATAATGTGTGCCCTACCTTGTGTTTCTGCTGTGGTGGCACTAACTTTCATGCCAGAAAGTCCAAGGTTCTTGCTTGAGGTAAAATATTTACATTTCTTCAAAAAGTTGAGCTTACCTGGGTCTTAATATCAACATCAGATCCATCATTTAAATAACAAAAAAATCAGCCCAAGCATTTTCAGTGGGGACTTGACATTTTTGAAGTTCTCTCTCTGGAAAATGTTATTTGCCTCTTTCTCTTTGAGAGATTTAATAAAAGAAATTTAAAACATTCTATCAAGGTTTGATTTATACTATATATATTGCTTTTAGTCTGATGCTGTTTTATGGTTGCTTTTGTTATCATGAAATTTTATTCTAATCTGATTTGGTGAACTATCTTGAAAAAATGAATGTATTGCTGAAGATCATTCTAAACAAATTAGGGAGCAATGTTCACTATAAATATTACTTTATAATATTGCAATAAATGAGGTGATTTAAGACTATTACTGTAGATGCCAAATATATTCCACAATATGCCACTGAGAGAGATAGAAAAAGATGCCAAAATATTTCTTTAAATGTAGATGTATTTTGAGTGAGGAAAGAGTTAATACATATTGCTTTATCAACAACTTGCATTTTATAATTGTTCCTGAAATTTTCAAATGTTTTCATATCCGTAGATTGGAAAACATGATGAAGCTTGGATGATTCTCAAACAAATTCATGATACAAATATGCGAGCTCGTGGCCAACCTGAAAAAGTTTTCACAGTGCGTATTTTTTTATACTATACCTCACTAGTGGAAAATTAGTTGTAATTTAGATTGGAAAAGTTATCAATAGAAACCATATATTCTTCTTGAAGAAAATAATACCATGAAGAGTATCTACAATGATTATTCACATAGATCTTGAAGATATATTTTTCTTTAAGGACATTTCTTGATCTAGTTGTCACTGGGGTCCAGATAGCCTTGATAAAATTATCTGGCCATAATTCTTAATTCTTGCAGCCCCGGGGCTGCAGCATATTCTTTTCCCAGTTTCTCTATGTTCACACACAAATACACATATACCCTGCACCTTTTTATCCTAGCCTCCCTGAATTCGCACCACACTGCAACACCCCCTGAATTCGCACCACACTGCAACTCACACATAACCTGCATTGGGCTTCCCCCACCACCCTGCAGCAGTCCTGCACTCCTTATCTGGATCTCCCTCTGCTGTTGGCTTAACAACTCATGCATTGCAACTTGGACTGCCAGGATTGCTGTCACTAAGTCATGTGAATTGCACTTTATGACCTCATCACTTAGTAGTGGAAATTCCGGTCCCAGTTGTGATCATAAGTTAATGACTGTCAGGCACAAGTAGCCAAATCTACATATGAAAGGTTCGAGTTGACTACTTTATTTTGTTCTACCTAATGTACAGGAATCTCCCAGACTGCTTGCCTTCCCTTGGGAACAACAGATAAGATTCCATGAAACTTAAAGGGGGTCAGCTTTATGTCTCTTCTGGCTGTGAAAAGACTCAAGGCTAGTTCCCCACCTGATCTCTTCTCCCTGCCTGGCTGGAATTTTCCCAATAATGAATGCCTATAATGTTCTTTTTTAATGTATTGTTAGATTTAATAGGGACTGTGTAGTTGCTTCTTTTTTATATTGGCTATAACTCATTTTTGAAGGGTATTATACAAAAATCTTAACAAAATTAAAAACTGATATTCTCATATGAATTTATTTCCTTCATTCATTAAAAATATGTTTTTAAAGAGCTACAACCAACCATTTTTATAGCTTTTAAAAGCTCTACAGATAATCTGATTTCTCTAATAATACCGCAAAATATCCCTGTTTCTGAAGAACCTGCACTTTCATATTCTCCTGTTCAGTTGACCTTCCATGCAAATCGTACTTCTCTTTCTTTCTCAAGAGATGGAAACTGTAGCCAAGGTTAGATGTTTTAATTTATAAACATACAACTTGAAACTGTTTATCCCCTTTTAAATAAGGCTGTTAACTTTCTTCAGCTGTCAAATGTTTTTGTTTCTCAAGTAGGAAAAAAACACCCTTCTTCTTATGTTCTCCATAGGTTAATAGGATCAAAACACCAAAACAGATAGATGAGCTTATAGAAATAGAAAGTGACACAGGCACCTGGTATAAGAGATGCTATGTCAGAGTGCGCACAGAACTGGATAGTGTAAGTAACACAATCTCTACAATATTATTTATATTTAAGTGCAAACTGGTCTAGAGAATCTAGAGAAATTAAACATTTACCATTATTATCAAGCTTAAATGAGTCAGCGTTAAAGTTACTAAAATAGATTAAAACAACTTCTTGTGCTTTTAATTCCCCGCCCCCCCCAATTAAATATTCTATGATTCCACATTTCTATAGGGATTTTCCAGATAATGGCACCTTATTTATTGTATTGCTTTATCCTTTCCCTTCTCCCAAAAGTTGGTGATATGTTCTCAGTTGATTTTTGTGAAATAGATTAGGCTGAGAGATAATGGCTTGTCAGAATCATTCAATAATCCATAAAGAAAAAGTTTGAAGTGGGTTCACCCATGTCTGTTTCATTACTGTCATACAGTAATGGGGCATGCTAACTAAATTTGACAAGAATGGCTTCCATATATACTATATACATCATGCAACAAAGCAAATACAAACACAGGCTATGGTTTCTAAAGTTTATAAATACTATCAATCAGCTAGTGTACAAAAAAGGGGGGGAAGTGAGAGTTTAAACACTTATCTGTACTTTTTAGTAGTTCTTTTTCCTTTTCTTTTTGTTTCTTTCCTTTTAATATTTATAAATAATAATGCTGTGGACATTTTGGGACTAAATTCAAAGATATATATTTTTATCTTTTGATAAAGATAACTCAATATCTGGTCATTTTTTTTATTAATGCTAAAGCATTAATTCTATAATTTCAGAAATTTTCTTTGTCCAGTTATTGTATCTACAGAATAAAGCCACCAAAATGGAGTATACTGAATCTTCCAGGAAAAAGTTGGTTTCTTTTGTCCAAGATATTCTTAAATTTGCCAAAGTTTACATATTTTATATAGCCCTTGTACATTACATTGGTGGACCAGAACTGGTGTGGTACAGTTGCATCCCTGGTGCTTGACTTAATTCAGAAAACTAAACTAAAAATAAAATAATGTCTGCATTAATAATTAAAAGCATCATCTAGAGTCCTCTATCAAAATAACAATAATGTGGATACTTTGAGGAGAGAGAGAGAGAGAGAGAGTTAGGGATTGTATTATTTCTTGAATAAGCAGCTGTTGTTAAAAGCAGATCAAGCCGAATATTCAGAAATCTAATTAAATCTGTAAAACTGAAGACTACGCGGCTTTAGATACAAGCCTGATGTTTCCGAAACTGGATTAATTATCGCTGTTTCAGAGGAAAAATTAGGCCCCTCAACATTTTTCTTGCCATAAATGTCACTGTAAACCATCCTTCCCTCAAAGTAGCATTTTCTTGAGGATCCTGAAGCAAAGCGACATATTTAACTTTCTGTGATGCTTATTCTAAAGTTTACTTGTATTTTTCATTTAGGTTTAAATGAAATTTTAGAAACAAATGCAGCTTTTCTTATTTCCTCACAGATTTGGTTAACATTTAAGAGGTGCTTCACCTATCCAGTCAAGGACAATACAACTAAGCTTGCAGTAGTATGGTTTACTCTTTCTTTTGGGTAAGGTTGATAAGAAATATATACATTTTACAATTGTATTACATTAACTTTGTTGCAATTCATACTCATCCATGCGTGGTGCAATGGACTGGATGGATGTACTGCATTTACTTTGTGAAGAAAGATTCAAACAAGTTAAACATGCTGAATTGTCATATGCCAGTTAGTAGGATTTTTCTTTATTATTTTCTAACCTAGAGACCTCTTCCATTATATATTTCCTGTGAAGCAGCCATGCTAGTTTCATTCAATTTCCACAATACTAGTGTATTATATTATCAAATTATTGTCACCTTGGATTACTCCAAATCCTTTTTGAAATTGAAGAAAATAACTCTTTGAAAAGCATAAAATTACATTTAAACACGGCATACAATAGAAATACTCTTCTTTTTTTTTAAGAGGTACAATTTAATATATGCAGTAATACTGCTAGTGATTGGGCTATTTCCAAAGGATCTGTATCTTGGCATTCCTTTACTGTTACCTTTCCAGTCAGTGACATGGATACATACAACAATAAACTTTTTATTGTTTTATAAATTTTTCAAACTGCTATTTTTTCATTCTTTAATTTTTTTTATATTGATACAAACATTTTTATTTAAAAAAAACCTCTGCACTGACTTAATATTTAAACATAAACCAACACATCCCCTTTTCTCCAGTCTCCAGTCCAGTCAACACCATTTTATCAATGTTCTCTATTTTTTTAGGTCTGCTTTTTAACCATTTGCATTAACTGAATAATAGCTCTGGCACATGGTTGTTCTGTAAAGTATATTTAAAAAAGGTTGTTAAAAATGATTTAACAACTCATTAAACTGTGATTGCTTAGATTAATGGCTTTTTCCCTATCCACGTGATTTTAAAATTGAAAATAATTATAGCAAATATATTGTACAATCACAATTTCAATATAAAATACAACTCTATAAATATTTCTAGAAAAATCAGCTAAATTGATAGGACTGGAAAAGTACAGAAAACGACAACCAAAATGATCAGAACAGCTAAAACAATCTCCTGTCAAAGAGAAATAATACAGAGATTGTTTCATTTTTTTAAAAAAAAAAGCCGAGAAAGGGGAAACATGATAGAGACCTATAAAAGTATGCTTCCTGTGAGCAAATGGAAAACGCCTTCTTCTCTCAGAATCTATGCCATTTGTTTTCTTAGAACATAGTGAGGACATAAAGTGACTTTGAAAGGAGATGAGACATCCATGGAGGATTAAGGCAATGTCTACTAGTGTTGAGGCTCTAGGTCATTTACAGGATCAGAAATAGTACTACTTACCATATTCTCAAGGGTATCTGTGGGACATTGACTAAATTAGAATAGGCTTTTGGTTGAACAAGTCTGGTACAATTTTATATGTGACTTTCAGTTAGAAGACAATGATTAAATACTACAAATCTACAAATATGCTACTATTACTCTCAGAAACAACAAAGCAATGAAAGTCCTTTCAATCAATGCACTTCAAAAACCTGTTTTAAAATGCTTTGCACGTGCCAATTACTAAAATTACAAAATAATAATTGCAAGCTATTTATATTAATACAAGCCTGGGACCAAAAACAAAAAAGAAATTGGACGCATTGTCCCTTTTCCTTTATATGTATGATCTCCAATTTCTACTTATTTCAAGGATTCAGCATTGCTAATTTTTGCTTCTTTTTTCTTAAACCATATTAAAAATTTCAAGTATGAGACCTTTAGCATAATCTGCATGCATAAGTTCTGGTTTTAGAGCTTGTTGGCATTGTCTTTCTCTTCTTATTCCCACCTCTCATCCCTCATGCCGCATTCTGTATCTAGTCATGACTTCACCTTCATTTTTCTATAAGTTTATGCAATTAGCTTATTTTCAATAATCATAGTTAAGATTAGCACATATGACACAATAAATAATGTTCATTTTAGATGTACATAGCAACATCATATCATATGATAATTTTTGCAGAGAGAGGGGGAATTCAGAAATCTGGGAAAACTATGCATGTTCTTGTTATATCTGATGCAGTTGGAACGTTGTAAAATACAACTTTTTATCAGTATATATTGAACACAACGCTGCATTACAATTCATTATTGTGTCATGTATTTCTCTTGAATGCTGAAATTACATAAATTGCTTTTATAGGTACTATGGATTGTCTGTCTGGTTTCCAGATGTCATTAAACATCTACAAGCAGATGAATATGCCAGAAGAGGGAAGAATTTTACCGATAAGAGGATCGTGGATTTTGATTTCAACTTTACTCTGGAAAATCAGATCCATTTTAATGGGACATTCATCAATGACAGGTTGAGAAAAATAAATATATTTCTAAAATGATTTGCTGATTGTGTATTCTGCCTTTCCTGTAATGAGTTCAACTTACAAAGACCTTTTTCCTTAGTACTAAAAGACCTTGGCTGAATTATCATATTTTATATTTGACCACAACTGATTGAGAGAGGTTCAAATGAAAAGACATTATGATTTGAGTGTTGCCCAACAGCCCAGTTCAGGGTCACCTGGTATCTCATATCAGTGTTCCATTTTATGTTTCGTTTTCTTTTTTCTTTTGGAGAGATGGGCATTAATATAGGTTAATGTTCTGCTTTTTTTATTTAGCTCACCCTTTTCATTCTTTTCATAATCATAGCTAGCTCTAACTCTCTGATCAGTAAATACTACCAAGAATTGTTTCAAATCATATTTTGGAGTAAACCTGGCTGACGATAACCATAGTCTAAAGAAAAGAAGAAACAGGGGTGACATGATAGCAGTATTCCAGTATTTGAGGGGCTGCCACAAAGAAGAGGGCATCAAACTATTCTCCAAAGCACCAAAGGGCAGGGAAACTGACTAAAGAGAGAAGCAACCTGGAATTAAGGAGAAACTTCCTAACAGTGAGGACAATTAACCAGTGGAACAGCTTGCCTTCAGAAATCATGGGCACTCCATCACTGGAGGTTTTTAAGAGACTAGACAGTCACTTGTCTGAAATGGTATAGGTTCTTCTCCTGCTTGAGCAGGGGGCTGGACTAGAAGACCTCCAAGGTCACTTCCAGTCCTATTCCTATTCTATTCTATTCTATTCTATTCTATTCTATTCTATTCTATTCTATTCTATTCTGATTCAGGTAAGAATGTGAGCTCTTCTATTTCCTGTCCTCCAAACCACTCACGGTTTGAGCATGGGGAATTTGAACATATTACTACAAAAGATTGAACCTTCAGAAGGTGATCTGTATTTAGCCATACTATTATTCAGTCATTTGAAAAATGATTCCAGTTAGACCTCCTACTATCCACCATGCTTTAAATCAGTACAGCAAATTCTTTCTTTTACTCAGGTTCACAATGATGACATTCAAAGCAGTTACTTTTCAAGACTCCCTTTTTAAGAACTGTTACTTTGAGGATGTTACTACACTGAATACATATTTTAGAAACTGCACTTTTATAAAGACTGTTTTCTTCAATTCAGGTATGTTGGGGGGGGGGGAAACCACATTCTTTTGTTCCCCAAATCCTTTAACTGTGTGGTAGTTATTTCAATAGAGAAGAAAAGTTAAGCTGAACACTTTTTAAACTTGTGTTCTTACCAACCGTAGGGATGTCAAGAGCTGAATTTCTGGCTGAGCTTATTATCTGACATTGTCGGAAGTAACTAACATTTTTTTTACCAATTTAAAGAAGAAAGAGTGGGAATATTTGGCTCCATGAATAATTACTTCATCTTTTGGCAGGGTGATTGGGAAGTAGCTGAGACTTTATGCTGGAATATGAGAAAGTTCAGCTGGCCAACTACCTAAACTTTTTTAGGTAGCCACTGAGAGGGACCCTTCAGGATTCCAAAGATAAAATGAAGTCAACTGGAGATGCGGGGTGTGTGTAGATGATTGGGGAGAACATACTGTGCTTAACATCACCTTGGAAAAGAACTAAGAGTGTTTTCTGATCCAGGTTTATTCATTTTTCTTAGGTGTTTTTGATTGAGACTAATCCCACTGCCAAGAACTATATCTGTCTGTGTTTGGGGGAGAGAAGCATTATGGGTGTTTTTTCACATTTTAAACTAAAATATTTTAATAGCTCAGATGTATGCATATTCTGTCATTTTGCCCTTCACCTAGCATTTCTGATTAGCAATTGTAATAGAATTACGAGGAGAATCTGGGTAGTCCTCAGCTTATGTGCATTCATTCAGCAATTATTTAGTTACAGCATTGCTGAAAAAAGATGGACATATAATTGGTCCCTGAAGTTCCAGCTATAGCAGTATCCTCCAGTCAATGTTTGGAATCTGGGAACTGTGATCACATGATTGCCATTTGCGATCTTTCCTGTTGGCTTCCCAGAAGTGAATTCAATGGGGAAACCAACAAGGAAAGTCGCAAATCACTCCGATAAGTTACACCTGCCAGCAGCATCCTCTGCCCTCCGCTAGGCCTCCCAGTCCTTTGCCACCCTCCCCAACTTATATACAGCTTGAGCTGGGCCTCCCAAACCGCCTCAGCCTACCTCAACTCATGTGCACCAGTCACATATAATGTTTTTAGGTTCCCCCCCCCCTCTTTTTGTATTTTTAAACAATAAGTGGATATTTTGGCAAATTCTTACTTGCATTATTAAAACAATTTAACGTACTTAAAGTAATTTAATGATTTTTCTAATCAATGATACATTTATCACTAACTCTACAATTTGTCACTCCTTTGTCCACTTCTGCTATTATGTTTCTGTACCAATTATTCTTTTTTTTTTCCCTTGTTGGTTTGGTCCTTGTTTTTCTTTTTAAAGCAATTAATAAACTTTTTTTAAAAAGCTACATTTGGCTTAACAGAAGTATGTTATCTTATTTATAAAACTTTGGTTTATTTATTTATTTATTTATTTCATCTTTCCCCCTGACAACAACAAAAACATATTAAAAAATAAACACACATAAAAAGTAATTTTAGTAGAACATATTTATGTCCTGCTGAGGAATAGGCATATCTAGGTTAGCAAACTCAATAATATAAAACTAAAAGAACATCATTAAAACATTAACATACCACAATATTAATATCCTGGAATGTTATACTGAATACAATATTAATGTTGGCCTTTTTAAGCAATATGTAAAAGAACCTGTGTTTGAAATATATTACACCTTTCACAAATTTCTTCTATTTCCACAGATCTTGAGCCATATAAATACCCTGGCAGTGAATTTATAAATTGTTCGTTCATTCACAATAAGACCGGGTGTCAAATTTCGTTCGATGATGATTACAGTGCCTACTGGATTTATTTTGTCAATTTTCTGGGGACTTTAGCAGTATTACCAGGAAATATTGTCTCAGCTCTTCTGATGGATCGGATTGGACGTATAACAATGTTGGGTAGGAACTTCACTTTGAAATTGGTCATTTAAAAAAAAAAATAAACATTCTTATTTTATCCTTTTCACTTTAAGATTTACAAATAATCAAGCAGGGAATGAGGGCTGTATATAGAGATAGTGAGTTGTTCCCCCCCCCACCGCCGCCCCCTCCCGGCTAGTTTTCAGTGCACTCTCAGATACATAGAAGAAGTAGATGGGACAATGATTCTGTATCTTAAAGATGAATTTGTGAGAGGCTTAATGCAGCATTTCAGTCCTTAAACCTCCCTAATCCTATTTTCTCCCAAAACGATAGCCTCTTAGCCACACTGCCTATAAAAGGAGAAATAAAAAAAGAAAATACTCCAAAGTTTGGCTCCCATTTAACAAAGCGTTTCTGGCTTTTCTGTGACAGAAAGAAAAAAAAATCATTTTTCTTATCAAACTCACAGACTCCTGCTATAAATTCCCCTTTCCCCCCCCCCCAACTCAAGAAATCATAACAGCTGAAATTTTATGCTTTATCATTTTATCATGTGGTAATCATGTGCAAAAGGAAGGTTGTTTTTGTGGCAGTGCTGACCCTTGGAGGGGAACATTTCTGAATCAAGGTTTTCAAACATGATAAGAAAGCATAAAGTTGCTCATAGTTCAGAAGCTTTGACATAGAGGGAATAGTAGCCAGAAGAAAGTTTTAGAGAAATCCTGAGACTAAGGAACTTGCCACCATGAATTTCCAAATCCAATTTAGTTCTTGTAAGGACTTTCAACCTTCTTAATTCCCTTTTAAGCTGTTCTTTCTTCCTGAATAGTGGAGAGCCTTCAGGACATGACCCTTAGCCTATTATTCTGTCACCTCTGTCATTGCCCACATCCAGTGCTACTACAAAGTCATTANTGGATCCATGATGATAGGCATGCTGTGTCTATACAATGGCCTTACTATCTCAGCATGGAATTCTCTTGATGTCATTACTGTGGAGTTGTATCCTACAGATAGAAGGTATAGTTCTATATTCTTGGCATGCTTTGCCTTCTTTTCAAAACTTAAATAAGTCAACTGGACAACATTTCTAAGATATGTACTTAAAAGGTGGGAAAAAATAGGAAAAAGACTGTTTTTATAATTGTGAACAATAACGCAAAGAGACTTCTACTGATCTGTATTAGGACTATATTATTTAACTTCTGTCTGACTTCAAAATTGAACTGGAAGCCTATGTTCTGAGTGTTTCTACTAATCTTGAGCTGTATTAGAAACAATACATTCAGCTATGCTGACAGTCTGCACTAACCTTATCAATTTGTTTTGCTTTTGGACTATCAGTATTTTTTAATTTTAATCTATAAATCCAAAATGGTTATATGTCACTATACTTTTATTATATTTCATTCCACTACCAAAATTAATGTATAAGCTGTAGCACAAGTTCTTTGAAGGCATTTTTTTTTTTTAAAATTAACATAATAGTAACCACAGTAAAAGCACTTAAAAGTATGTTCAAAAAGTTCCTTCAGTTATTTTTTTAATTAAAGAAGCATTTTCTGGAAAATCTAGCATGCTCTTCTATTTCAAAGGAGTGTGTGTGTGTGTGTGTGTGTGTGTGTGTGTGTATAAAATATCTTGAGAGGTATTTCTTTATAATAACTTCTATTTTTCCGTATCTTCAAAGCACCATTACTTGTCTTTCCATAATCTCTCTTCAGAGAAAAAAAGGCATACAAATCAATGTTAGTGAATTTGTGTAAATTATTGCTAATAGTGAGAAAATAAAGACATCAATTGAGAATATGCAAGATAACAAGAAAAACACATGAGAAACTTTTTATCATATGATTAGAGGTAGGAGTATCACGTGATGAAAGAAGTACAGTACAATCAGCCAGGCACTTCCAGATGACACTGGAAGAGATCGTAAATCTCTGGTGTGTTAAACTTAGAAAACAGAGATTTTCTTCTGCTGAGGTTAAACTTAGAAAATAGAAAATGGTGGATGTGCCAGCAAGATCTGATCTGGAGAACATAAAGTAACCTTAATTAAGTTTCAGTATTTTTAATTTATGCAAGATAGAATACGAATAGCTATAAAAATAAACTAGAGATTGTGTGAAACATTTTAGAAAACATTTTCTAAACGTTCGTAGAAGAAAAGATCCAAATGGCATTCAGAACAAGCTATTATAATAGAATGTAGAAATGCCAAGAATGAAATCTTTGTCAACTCAACAATTGAATGCAGACTTTGCAAAGTAAAAAAGTGAAATGAAAAATACTTTAAACAAGAATGATAAGAAGAAAGTCAGTTGGTTTTTTTTTTTAGAAAAAATAACCTCAAATGTACAGCTAACATAGGATTACTTAAGAGTAATCATGGATGACATCTGTTAGACAAATCAGGTTGAGAGAAGGATGTAAAAACTAATGAAAATCTTTACAAATGGAATCCTGGAATAATCAGGAACCAACTCCATTAGAAAGTAAGATATAAGGGACACTAAATAATAGTCATTCAAACTGAAAAACATTAAGTCCAGATGAAATGCTATTTCACTTGTTGAAAATTGTAGAAAGAAGTTAAAGTGCTAACAGTTTTATGTTACAAATATGGAAAAACACTATTGTCTTGAGGTTGGAAAAAATATCTATCCCAAATAAAGGAATGTAATCCTTTAGATTACACATGGGTAGATTATTGAACCATTGAATGAATTCTTTATGTATCTAGTTTTTCTTCAACAATTATAAAAAAGAATTGATCCATAAATGCAGAGAAGCAGAAGGATTTGAGATTAAATTAGCTAACAGAGATGAATAATAGAGCAAGAATATTACAAGATTATATTATGCTTCCCTGACAAAGCCCGTAAATGTAGAATGGGGAATATATTAAAGCTAATGGGTATGCCAGAATACCTGATTATTCTTCTGAGGAATAATGAATAAAACACTGTTGGAAAACAATGGAATGATAGATAATTTTGTTTTCTTGCATTTTACATTATTTCCATAAAATAAATGTGCTAGGAAAACAAAGAGGAAATTAATCCAATGGTAAAAAGGCAACAAAAACCTTGGGTAAAAATCACAAAAGATAGGGATATCTCATGACAAAAAAAGATCACAATAGTTAAAGTAATGATCTTTCTAGTAATAACATAATTATCATGTTACAATTGTTAATTGATATGATAGTTGTAACCTTTCTCATAAGTAATTTGCATCTACATAACCAAACTATTTTCTTTACCTTCCCCTTCCCACCTTTTCTTCTCATTTTTTTCCTCCAACTCACCATAATTTAAATCCTACACTGCTCTACTCACTCTAGGTCAGAGATCCCCAACCTTTTAGGCATCAGGGACCGGTTCTGTGGAGAGAGGTTTTTCCACAGACTGGGGGGGACGTGGTTTTGTGTTCTGCCTGCATCTCGTGGATGGGGCTTTGCTTGTTTGTGCAGACCGGCTGCTGGCATGCTGTGGCCCGGTACTGGTCCACAGACCGGGGTTGGGGATCCCTGCTCTAGGTATCTAATGAAGTGAGCAGCAGTTCACAAAAGTTTTATGCTCTTTCATATAACTTGTTAGTTGGAAAAGATACTGGGAGACTCCTGATTTTTTTGCCAATACAGACTAATATGGTTCTCTTCCTACAATGTTATTAAACCTGGTTTATTTGTTAAGGGCTGTTGAGTGTAGCCTTTGACAACTGCTTGCCATCTTGATCTGTCCCCAACAGTAACACAGTTCTTCAGAGGACATTCCAACAATCATTTTAATCTCATTTATCCATCTTATCTATAGCCTTTCCATTTTTCAATATCAGCCTTGCCAAGAATAATATTTTTTCTAGTTCATCTTATGCTCAATAATATACAAAAATTCTAGGATGTTTGGCGTGCTGATCATTGTCTCAGGAGTTCCATCAGTCTCCATTTGATCTAGTATTGATTAGATCCTTGGTAATGTCTCTAAAATCATAATTTGGAAGGTACGTAATTCTTTGTCTTTTTAGTGTCTAGTTTTCATAGCTATATAGAATCTCTTTAAAGATAATTACTTTAGTAATTAGTTCTACTCTTTTTTTGTCATTGTAATATCCCTAACTTTTGTGATTTTGCCCAAGGTTTTGTAAATGAAGTGATTCTCATGATTTTCACCTTCATCCTAAGTGAGCAGTTTTATTTCTGTCCAACATTCAAGGATTACCTGTAGTGTTTTTAAAAATCCATATGGTTCTTGCTTCTTGGGATTGCCAGCTATATGGAGACTGACACTTATTTTTAATATAGAGGTAATTTTTATGAGATTATTACTTTTTTTCTGTATGCCATTCTGGCCTCCTCAAAAGGAAGAACAATATACAAATAAATAAAGCAAATAAATGTTTGCACATCACTTCCAATTTAGTCTAAGAGAATGGGAAATTATGGGATCCTATGGATCCATAATATTTTCCAGCACGCCCTGTCTTCATCCAGTGTTGAAGGACTATAGAAGAAATGTACCAGTTTAGACATCCAACTAAAAATTATGTGTCTCTGGGTGCTCCTTCAAGATTATTGAATTGCAGCCTAAACAATTTCATTTTAAAGAACGCTTTCCTTTGTTAGCTATTTATGAACTATTGCACCCCTTATTTGATTTTGTCAGAAAACATGTGATTTCATACAATTTTGCAGGCATTGGGACAGTAGGTTTTACTGCCACCCTGTGGAATGAATATCACAATATTCAGTTAAATTCACCCGTCCCATCTCCCCCCCAACTAGGGTATTGCTGTTCTCACAGTTGTCTTTATTTTAGGGTGTGGTGGTGGGGTGAGGTGTTCATTAAAGCAAGGCCTCAAAAATTGCATCCTTGCATGAAACACACTCTAGAAAAGCATCCCACAGACATTCCTGACATTGTTATTTCTCATGAGTTGCATATGAAATCTTGTCAGACTAGCTAATTATGAATTGAAAACTTGCTCTCCTTTGTTACATCTCATGTCTTCTCCCATTTTCTTGGAAGACTTATAAAACTGTAGCCTTGAAATTGCCTGGTTTCCTTATTTTCCATCTTCATGGCTACAGACTAGAAATACTATTCACACCACACCTCAGTGTAATTTTTGCTTTCCTTTTCGTAATGAATTATGGTAATTACATTTTTCCTGCCTGGATAGGCAGACTGTGTAATTTAATCCTGATTAGCTGCCCACTGCAACCCCTAATCTTTCTTAGATGTCTTGCTGTGTAGGATATCTTATTATATTTTGCTTCAGATATGATCTCAGGAAAGATTTATACGTAATATAATCTTGATTATTTCAATCTCTGTTCAGAATTGCACTCTGTAAGAGCCTCTTTCATATAAACCCAGCAGGTACAGCCTTTCTTCATGCTATAAAATAAAAGTAAAAATATAGAATCGATATCTTTTCACTAATGACACTTTTCAAAGAAGTAACAGGTAGTCATCGACTTACAACAGTACATTTAGTGACCGTTCAAAGTTACAACGACACTGAAAAAAGTGACCTATGACTATTTCTCACAATTACAACCATTGCAACAGCCCCATGGTCACGTAATCAAAATTTGGATGCTTCGCAATTGGCTTATATTTATGATGGTTGCAGTGTCCTAGGATCATGTAAACAGCTTTTGCAACTTTCTGACAAGCAAAGTCAATGGGGAAGCCACTCAACCATGATACTAACTTAAAAATTGCAGTGATTCACTTAACAACTGTGGCTAGAAAGGTTGTAAAATGGGACAAAACTCATTTAACAAATGTCTCAACATAAACTTTGGGCTCAACTGTGCTCGTAAGTCAAGGACAACCTGTATTTATATAGATCAACCTGAAATAAAGATTGAGAATTTAAATCCCCAAAGATACCATTGTCAAGAAAATTGTGTAAAGTTACACAGTCAACCCAAAGTAGATTTTATTTATTTGGGTATGTCTAGTTTAATGAAGAGAAGGATGAGGGGGGACATGATAGCAGTGTTCCAATATCTCAGGGGCTGCCATAAAGAAGAGGGAGTCAAGCTATTTTCCAAAGCGCCTGGAGGCAGGACAAGAAGCAACGGGTGGAAACTAATCAAGGAGAGAAGCAATCTAGAACTAAGGAGAAACTTCCTGACAGTGAGAA